ATCATCACCGTTAGAACCATCGTTATCATCACCATTATCATCAGCACCATCACCACCACCACCACCACCATCAGAACCATCATTATCACTACTGTCATCACTGTTTTCATTCCCACCAACACCGTCACCACTACCACCATCACCACTGCCATTAGAACCATCATTTCACCACCATCATTACCATCACCACCACCACCATCATCATCATCATCATCATTGTCATCATCACTATTTCTTTCTCCCGCACAATAATCCAAAAGTGTTCATCAGTTCCCTCTAAATGGGCTGGGGAAGCTGGCCAGGATGCAGAAAACTTAAGGTCTTCAGAAGACGTCCCCACATTGAGCCTGGCGAAGCCCACCAATTTGTCTGCCCCTCCTCTGGCCCACCTGGTGCTGAGCCTGGCTCCTTTATAAACACCTCCTCCATCAGACGTGGCACTTGTCTGCAGCCAGTGCCTCCAGTCGAGCTGGGAGTCCCTGTCACTGCTGTTGGAACAATGGAGTCCCCTCCCATTTCCCCTTGGGTGTGCGGGGCCTTTGTGTGCTTTATCTCCATTTCACTCTTTAATCCTCCCAACAGCCCCAAGTACTGAGTTCTAATATTACGCCTTTTCACAGATGAAGACACTGGCTCAGAGAGGCTGGGTTACTTGTCCAAGGGTGCACAGCTCATAAGTGGAGGAGCCGGGGTTAGAACCCTTGATCATTTTCCCTCTCCACCTGTTGTAGTCCCTCTATGTACACTTGTGTCTTTTCAGGCCAACCCTGCCCAGTAAAATATAATGTGAGCCCTATATGGAATTTTACACTTCCTAGTAAACACATGAAAAGTAATAAGAAACAGGTGAAATTTATTTTAATAATAATTAATTATTAATATATATATTAAGAATATCAATTAATAATCAATATATTAAGAGTATCAATTTGACATAGAGTCAGAAAAAAATCATAATCAGAATTTTACATTCTTGTATTCATACTAAGTCTTTGAAATCCAGTGTGTGTTTTACTCCTCCAGCTCAGCTGGGACAAACCACACTTCAGATGCTCAGTGGCCTTACGCGGCGAGTGGCTATTGGCTGGACAGAGCTGGGCTAGACTGTGATGAGGCTGCCTGCCGTGTCGGTGTGTGGTTTTCGAGCGAGTTGATATATATATGCAGAGGCACGGGATGCTGTGCCCAGGATGCAGTGAGCGCCTGACGAATGTTAGCCCTGATTACCATCCTTGTTACTGGGACACAGGACGCTGCAAAGGTGTTAAATGAATGAACAGATGCGCCGCACCCAGCTCTTAGACCATCGCAGTCTTACACAGTTCTATCTGATGCTCCCTACCTTGCTCTGCTTCCTGGGCTGTGGTTGGCATCTCTCCCAGGCCCTACCGGAATTCCACACTGGACCATTGCTGGCTCACTTTCCTTGCTCCCATATAAACCCACAGTGTGTGTAGCAACCTCTCCCAGCTGCCCAGAGGGATGACGGAGGTTCCTGGGAGGAATCCCAGGGTTTCTGTTTGTACAAAGCCGAAGGCAGCCTTCTGGCATTTGGTTGCTTTGCTGGCGCCAGGCAGGGCCTTTTCTAAAACCTGGGGGAGGTGAGTGTGCTGAGGGGCCCTGGGGTACTGCCCAGCCGGCAGTCGGGGTCTGGTCTCCCCAGGAGCCCTGCTCCCATGCCCATTCCAGAGGGCCAGCCCTTGCCAAGTGCCTGCCCAGGTGGAAAATGCCTGTTGGTGCCGCGCTCTCACCAGCATCCCTGACAAGTGGTGGGCGGGAGGGGCCCTGAGCTGGGAGCAGAGCCCCAGAGTTCCTGGAAGAGGCTCTGAGCGGGCAGCTGGTGGGTGTGAGGCCTGGGGTGGGGTTTGAAATGCTAGCTCAGATCCAAACTACGGACCAGAGGTATAAAGAAGGCATATTGTTGAGGCTCCTGTGATGTTTTAAAAGGGATACTCCACATGCCGGGGTCCACCCTATCCTGCAGTTGTTCCCAGGAACAGAGACTGAGTTTGCATTCCCCACTTAGCACACGCATCCTCAGGTAAATGCACACATACACCACGGGCGTTTATACACCCAGACATGCCACGATCACAGACACGTGCACACACACGTACATCTGTGCACATCCCACATACATTTGTATGGGTCTCACCTGCAGACAGACTACCACAGCCCTCCTGTCTACCCAGGAATTTGTTAGCAGAGCATGCATTTACCCAGTCACATGCTTCTGCGAGGCTCCCTCGGGTGGTCCTGCGTTCATTCCCCAGCAGCAGGGAGCTGGGTGGGGCTGAGGTTGTCAGCCCCCGTAAACACAAGAGGACAGTGAGGTCTGGAGTGGATAAGGGATTTGCTGAAGCTGGCACAGCCGTGGTAGAGCCTGCATCCAGCCCCTCTCTCCTGGAGGACATCGCCCTGTCACCTCTCATTCCAACATGTGGGTGCTGTCACGTACCTCACTAGCCTGTGAGTTCTGTAGGGGCGAGACCGTGTGCTTCTCATTTCTGCACAAGCACGTGAACCAGGAGGCAGGAGGCTGCCCTGCAAAGAGCTGGACCTAGATTCAAATGCCAACTCCACTGAGTACTAGCTGTGTGACCTGGGGCAAATTACTTAACCTCTCTGAGCTTCAGTTTTTGCATCTACAAAGGAGGATGATTATATCTGCTTAATGGTATTACTATGGGAGTTTTAGGAGATGCTTAATAAATGTTAATACATGCCTGTCGGATGAACTGAGGAAGGTTTTACATACATACATATATGGTATTTGGCACAGGGCTTGGCAGGGCTTACTATGCATAGTCCCTTTCTCTGAGCACACATTGGGTACTCAATATGCGTAGATGGAAGCAAAGAACAAAGCAACGGAAAAACAAGCCATATCTGCAGCGTCCCTTTATCATAGCTTTATCACAGCCCTTTATCATGACATTCCCGAATGTACTTGGCTCCGTTTCTGAGCTCACTACCCCGTCCTGCTCCTCGATTTATCGCTTCCTGGGTTGGCATCTTCCTCCTTCAATTGCAGAACCTTCAGAGAATGTTCTACTATCTGATTGGGCCAGGCTTCTACTTCCTCAAAGTTTTCTTGGCAATTTGCACAAACTCTGTCTTCCATATGAACATCGATAGCCATTTTTTTCATCAAAATGCCCCCCAGGACCCTAAGTGGACTTGCATTCCGGTTCTATATTCGTTTGGGGAGGACGGCCATGCATGGGCTTTGGCCGTTAAGGAAAGCACTGGTGGTCCTCACCGGGGCTGTTAGGGATGCCCTGAGAGCTCTGGCACTGGGCTGTGAGCAGGGAGCCCCGGGACCAGGGACAAGTGTGGGCTGGGCAGTGCCGCGTCCCCAGAGATGGCCCCGGCCAGGGGCTGCACAGAGGAGAGCCACCTTGCCTCCTCCCAGGAGCCTTCCCTGCCTGCTGCTGCCTGGGTCTGTCTGGACTCTGGGCTCCAGGGTCCCCTCCGCTGAGCCCGCACTCTGTACCCGACTCCTCCCCAGCGCTGGCTGCCCTGTGGCGGTCCCTGGGGCTCCTGTGGACTCAGAGCCACCTGCAGATTTCTCTCTTCCTCCTCCTCACTCAGACTCCGGCTGCCCTACACCTCACACCTCTTCTCCATCTACCCCTTGTCCTCCTGGCCATGGCGACCCTGAGATGAAGGCTGGTCTGGCCCCTTCTTCTTGCTGCAGCCTGCAGGAAATGCTCAGTCTCCCCTAAACAAGGGCAGCTCTGCAAGAAAGAGCGGGATTCGGCAGGAAAAGATCGAAGTCTGAGCCCTGGCCACTTAGTAACTGTGAGACCCCGGGCAAGTCCCTCCCTTGCTCTGTCTCCGTTTCTTTCACTGGTAAAATAGAATTCAGAACTTTGCTTGTGGGATGTCTGCACCCACCATGGGCAGGCACGGCGCCCTGTATAGAGAATTTAACGATGAGTCGCACAGACGCACGCCCTGCCCTCCGGATGCTTACCAGGGCTCCGGGAGGATACCTATCACCCCACGAGGCAACCGGCCTGTGGTCGGCTCATCAGCCTCGGATCTGGGTAAATCAGAACCAGTGTCTCCGAGCCAACCGACAGGTAGCTTACCCCGAACCTCAGTTTCTCATCATGAATGGGACACATTTGTCCCAAAGCAAGCTGTCAGCTTGAGTGGGTGTAATAAACCCTTCTTGCCATCTTCCCACTGACTCTTGGCTTTGCCCCTGGCAGCAGTCCCTGGCCGGCCTGTGGGAGCTCGACTTCAGAAGCTCTTCCCAGCTGCCCACCTCCTGCCTGCCCGCCTCCGCGCCCGGAGCCAGCGGCTGGCTAGGTGCTGCCACGTGTCTGGCTTCTCCTGGGATGGAGGTGGGAGAGAGAGAACCCTCAGGAGGCCCCTGAAACAGCAGCTTTATATGCAGGACCCAATGTGTACGTGTTGTGCACTGTAGAGGGTTGTGCAAGCCCAAGCGGCAGCTGCTGAGGGTAGAAAACCAGCCCAAGTGCTGTTCGCTCAAGGGAGGCGCTTTGGTTGAAAGCTGGCATTTCCCTTTCCAACTTTTCTTGGCATTTTCCATCTCCCCTTCTTATAGTATCTCCAACACTTGGAGACTCATTTTCCAAACTCAAAGACTCTAGAAACCTCCTAACAACTTTCTTACTTTACGCTGCTCAGAGAGGGTGAGTGACAAGTCCAAGGTCACACAGCTAATCTGGGCAGAGCTCAGTCTGGAGTCCAGGCCCCTGACTCCCAGTTCCACCTAGTGCCCTTTCTGCTGTTTCAGGTGGGAAAGAAGGGCGTAGAGGACCTGCTTGTTTTATTTCTCCGCATGCTGCTCCTTCCTCCTCACCCTGCTGGGATCTGCTGACCCGGCACAGCCCTACACCTCACCTTGGGCCACGCCTTTTTCCCCACCAGTCCGATCTGGGCCCTCTCATCCTGCCCACTCACGGAGCAGCCCGGGGGAGAAGGGAGCTGGGGCCCCTCTCCGAGCCCCTCCAGACAGGACTCACCGTGGCCAGGGCGCTGCCTGCAGCTGCTGCTGTCACCACTGCCAGCGTCCAGGGCAGGAACCACCTCATGCCTGGAAGTCAGTGGCAAAGGCATCGACCGAGCAGCCCAGAGGATCCGGCCACCTCTCGGGGGAGCTGGGCCGAGACTGGCCTGGCCCATGAGGAGCACCAGATATGCTTCTTCCCGCAGCCTTTGGGGGGTTTTATTAAAGCAAGATCTGACGTCAGGGTTAAGGACAAGCCCTGCATTTTCCTCTGAAAAAACTTTTCCTGCCTCTCTCTCTCTTTTTTTCTTCCTTTCCTCTGTCCCCACCTCCAGCCTGGGCTTGGCTGGCCTCCCCAGCTCTGACAGTTCTTAAAGGGAAAGTTACAGGGCTGTGATTTCACATGGGGGCGGTGAATTCTCACCGAAGGAGCTGGGGTCAGCCTGCCAGGGTGTTTCACAAAGCTGGGGAGGGGGAGACGGTGGCGGGTGCGGGCGGAGGGGGAGATAGAGTTACGGGGCCGGGCTGGCAGGCAGGCGGGGGGGCTTCGAAAGGGCTCCCAACTGGGAAAGGAACCTCCCTCCCATTTCTTCGGGCTGCTCCTACTTCTGGTTTTGATTTGTCATCTCTCAGTCTTCCCTCCCTGGCTGCAAGCAAAGGAGGATGGCTCGAAGGGCAGCGATCTAGAAATGATAGGAATTCGCAAATGAGCTCCGCTCTGGGGCTCATGTTCTCATCCCTGTAAATGAGCCTTTTGCGGGAGTGCCCTGTGCCTGCTCAGCCGCCAGGCCCTTTGGTGCTGGAGCGGTCTGCCCACGGAGACGCCAGGCGATTTCAGAGCAGACACAAACTTGGTGGCAGTCTTGGGGCTGAAACCAAAGTCTCTGAACCCTGACAGGGCACAGGGTCAGGACCGGACACTTCCAAGCCAGCTTGACCTGCCAAAGCCTCTTGATGCTCTGTGATGGAGCCACGAGGACCCCGGAGAATGCCGGGATGGGTTTTAGGACATCTGATTGTGACGAGCAATTGGAACAGATGCCCAAAGCATGATGGAAATGCTGACTGCTCATACCTGCTGTTAGAACCTCTGACAGCCCTGCTGGCCCCACTGGCTGCTGCTATTTGCAGTATAGCGAAACCTGGAGAAAGGTGACACCGTGACCCTGACAGGGCAGTGGGTCAGGAGGCACAAGGCCTGGGGTGCCACTCCAGCCCTGCCACTTACTCGTGGGCCTTGGACAACCAACAATCTCTCTGTGCCTCAGTTTCCCTCATTTGAAGAAACAGGGTCACATTAGTGCCTACCCTATAGGGTTGTCAGGAGGCCCGAAGGAGACAATTAGGTGTGTCCCAGTATTTGTGAATGAAGAGGCCAGCATGGGCTGCGGCCTAGGCTGGCACGAGTGGGTTGTCCTACGTCCATCCTGTGTCAGGGGGTAGGCATCTTGGGGGAACTTGTGATGCAGCCTGGGTGTATGGCTGGGGTCAGTATACAGACCAGAGTGGTGGTCCAGGACCAGGCACCTGAACTGGGCAATCTCTAAGAGACCGGCTGGTGGTGAAGGGAACAATAGCCGCCAATTAGGGATCATCCGCCATGTTCCGGGGAACCCTTGTTATCTCACCGAATCCTCATTTCAGTTCACCCTCACACCCGGTCTCCCGCTAGATATCATCATCCCCGCTCTACAGAAGAGGAAACTGAGGCACGTAGAGATCGAATAACTTCCCCCAGCCATCCCGCTAGGGCATGGCAAAATTGCAATCAGAACTCAAACCTGTGTGGCTCCAACATGATTTTTTTTTTCAGGTAGACCAAGCTGCCGTACGTGTTAGACAAATAAGTGAATAAATGACACGTGGATGGGCACACGGATGAATGGATGAGTGTGAGGAGGTGGTACCACTGTTGGGAATCTGCCATTTCCCAGGTCTTTCTTCCCAGGATGGGCTCCGCGTCTTTAGTTTTCCACATCCAGGTCCCTCTTCCCTGATCACTCCTCTTAAATGGGCCCCTGGTTGGTCTCTAGCTCAATAACCCATTTGCCTCCTTCTCAGCCCCCAGCCCAGTGGCCATTGTTTAGTTATGGACTGTCTCCCACGTAGCTTGTGAGGTCCGAGGGCAGGACAGCCCCACATCTTCCTCTCTACAGACTTACAGTGAATGGCCAAATGGATGAACCAAGCAGATGCATGAGGGGGTGAGGGGATGTACGAGTTGGTGAAGGCAGGAGGGAATGCCTGGAGGGGAGGTAAACATGTCCACGTCTCTCAGGCCGCTCTGCGCTCCCCAAGGTGCCGGGAAGAATGCGCAGCCCCCAGTAGGTTCAGAATCCGCTTGCCGACAGCGTGAGCCAGGGAGTAAAGGAAAGAGGAAGCTGGGCAGGGTCCTGGCAAGCCCAGAGATAGCAGGAATGTGCGAGTGGGGCTGGGGGTGATGGCCTGCATTTTCCCAGGCCTGAGGCCCAGGGGCATCACAGCGTTTGTTATTTCCAATGTCGCGGGTAATTTGTTTCTACCTATGCTGCAGAGGGTTCGTGGCCCGCTGCCAAGCCTGCACAGAGCCCCCTCCGAACTTAGCATCCATCTGCCCACTCCTATTTCCCTCTGCTTCCCACGACTCTCCTCCGTTCTCCCCAGACCGCAGGCTCTGTGTCTTCTACTCGCGCCGTTTGTCTGTGTGTACTATGTATGTGGTGCGGTTGTTAATTTAATAATCACGCTCGGAGCACGCGCTGCTCTGAGTCATTCGCAGGTGGGTGCTCATATCACCCTTGCTTTATATCTGGGGAAATCGAGGCACAGAGACGAAAGGACATTGCTTGAAGTCGGAGCAGAGTGCAGGTTCGAGACCACGGACTGGGCTTCGGAGCTCTGCACACCCGTGAGTGTTTCCGTAGGTGGAGGGCAAGACGCTGTGGCCTCCATCCAGTCTCCTTTTCTCCACTCAGTCTTACATTCTTCAGATCTCTCTGGCTGCCGCTTCCTGGTGTGTGGCTTCTGCTGTTGCCTCGGTTTCCCCAGTGTGCAATCTTCAGTTTCGCCCTCATCCCATCTCCCTACTGAGGGGTCCTCACGTTCCCTCCGCCTTTGCACCAACAGGCCCAGACACATCCCCTTACGGGCCTGCTGGGGGATTTCTTTGGGATTCAGGCCTCCTCGTTCGTTGTCACCATAGCTGATGTCATTCCTGTGTGGCAGATGGTTCAGTGCTGCCTGCACAGGCCTAGGTTGGACTCCTGCCTCCTGCCACTGATCTGCTGTGTATCTTTAGAGAAGTTACATAACCTCTCTGTGTGCTGGTTTCCTGGTCTCTAAAATGGGTATGAGAGGGTACTGATCGCTCTGAACGGCTCCTGGCGCAGAGTGAGCGCTGTGTCAAGGTGTACTAATCAAGCTTGACACGTAGTCAGTGCTCCACAAAACTCCTCATCTATGACGAATACTCTTACCTGGCCTCCGTGCTGGGAGCACCTCAAGGGCAGGGTCTGGACTAGGTCATGTCTGTGTCCTGCCTCCCGCCTTACACACAGTAGGTGCTTCAGATGTGCATGGCGAAGTTCAGGGACGCTGTGGCAGAGGTGGGGTTTGGGCTGGGGCCTCATTCCCAGTGGAGACCGGGCCTCCCCTCCTGCCTCTCCCAGCCTGGCGGGGTCCCTGCCTCCAGCTGTGTGTCTGTCCTCCTGCAGCCCGAGCACAGCTTCCTGCGCCTTCTCTCACAGACCTCCCGGAACAGCTGCAAATAAATTCCAGAGAGGGGCTGGTGGAGGGGGTTCGAGAACAGAGGCCAGGCGAGAGCATTCCTGTGCCAAACAGAAGGCTGCCTTGACCAGAGCCAGATGCACAGAAGATCAGGGGCCCAGGAAGTCCCCGATCTGCTTGCAGCCTGTTTGTCATTGGTTTGTCCCGTGAACGTGAACGCAGCCCACACGGTCCGTGATGCAAGTTCCTGGGGCTACGCAGATGTCACGTCGCACCCTTGCCTGGGTGGCAGACGCCACTGCTGCTGAACAACCTGGCTGCTTCGGAAGGAAGAGGAGGATGGACGTGGGCCTGCTCTGCCTTCTGCCGTCCTGCTGGGCTGGCTCAGTGGTGCAGGGGGCTCTGCCCCTCTTCCTGGGGCCCAAGCAAGAATGGAGGAACTTCTGAGGGGTCACCTTGGGCTCCAGGTCTGCTCAGAGGCCAAGGGGTCGGGGTGACTCTCCTCAGGTCCAGCCTAAACAGCTAGGTCCACTCAGGGAGGCTGGAACCCCTGGGCAGCCCCCTCCAGCTGCTCTGCTTGCTACTCTTCTTTTGAGGCATGCCTGATGTGGGCAAGAGCTCACCTCCACCTCCAGGAGCTCCCACTTCTCACCTGGGAAGGTGGAGGGAAAAGCAAGGGCTTTGGGGCCAGGCGGGCCTGCGTCAAACTCTTGCTTTGTTACATACCAGCTGGGAGATCTTAGGGGAGCCACTTCACGTCCCTGAGCCTCAGTTTTCCTGTCTGTAAAATGGGGGTAACAACGATATCTACCTCCTAGCATTGTGGTGAAGACTGAGTCTGCGCTCAGCACGTGGGAGATGCTGGATGAATGGTTATTATTAATAGTCTTCTTTGCTTTCTATCATAGGGACTCTGTCTGGGTCCCCGGCCTGGGTCACCTTGAGCCCACCGCTGGCTCCCTCTGAGTCTCCCCTTCTCAGCATGGCTGTGGTTTGGAGCACAGTGTCCCTCCTTTTTCACTGTCCCTGCCTCCTCCCGTGAAATCTAGTCTTCCCAGGCCTCAGGGCGAGTGTTTCTGTGGGACCCTTTGCTGAAATTAATTGGGGGGTGTGAGCAGATGAGGAAAAAGGAATGATGATGACAGGGCAGAGAAAGCAGTGCCCCCTGGTCTGACTCACTCCTCAAGGGTCCTGGCAGCTCATGGGGCTTCTCTTCTAAAGCGAAGGCAAGGCCAGCTCACCACAGTCTGCTTTGGAACAGAAGCAAATACGTCCTGAGCTCTTTTCCCGGAGACCCTCTCCTGCCCTGAACTTGTAGGGTCTCTGGGGGCCCTTGGCTTGGAGCATCCTTCGCGTCTCCAGGCCTCCCAGACCAGGGCATGGGGCCCACAGGCTCTGCCTGCTCCATGGGCAATCTCAGACAGACACGTGGGCTGCTCATTCTTCTTTTAAAACAATTAAAGTCTAACAGATGTGAAAATGCACAAATCTTAAGTGTACAGCTTGGTAAATTTTACACATGAGCTTTGAGTGTTCCGTGTGCCCCTCACCGAGATCAGGGTAGGAAGGCTTCCTCGTGCCCCTGTCCTCACTTGACACCCACGTCCAGAAATCACAGCGATGA